TCAGTAGAGTTGACAAAGCACTTTAAAAAACACGGGCTCATGTTTCCCATTCAACAGGCAGCTTACTTATTCATTTGACTCCAGCATAACCTCAAGTTCAAATATAGCAATTGCAACTACATCTGTAACTCATAAATGAGATAGATCTTGACTCCAAAAGCATCTGTGACTTGACTGCTAGAGCTACACGTGATTCTATTGGAATAGGATCTTTCGGTTGCCTCTGCAGACCAAAAGTCTGGGCAGGAGTGAAAGGTTAGCTTGTGAAATTCTGTATAAGAACCCTTGTATCATAATCTCCACTATCTGTAGATGGCTTTAAAATGTATCTGGTTTCCTTTCATGCACTTTATCTGTGAATTAGGCAGAGCTCAGACAGAACAAAACCATTTTACGTAAAAACAAGGAAAATGAGGCTCAGAGAGATTTCCCTGCGTCATTGAGCAAGGACATTGCAAAGGCAGAACTTGAACCTGGATCTTGTGGCCCCAGGCCTTTGTCCTCCGCAGGGCAGGCTGGCCTCCTGGTTTTAACTTGTCGCTAAGGTCAAAGAAACATGAGTGTTCACGATGGCCGCAAGCTGCGGTGAACGAGCCAGCAGAGCAGTTCTCTTTTATTCCTTTGTTCTTTCCCTTTGATGAACTTTATGGCAACTTGGCCTCTGTTTTGTGAACTCTCAGGGGTGATGTGAAATGACACACTGTGTATTTTGAGTCTTAAGAAACTCTTCTTCTGAGCGTCTTGAAGGGTTTTGAGTGTCTCTGGGAACAGCTGACCTAGAATCTTCAGAAAGCATAGCTGCAAGAATCTTTGCTACTGACAGAATCACTAGGATGGATACAGGGCTCTTCCCGGGCCTCTCTTCTTTCTTTACTCCTCCCTCTTGCTGCCTTCACTCAACATGTGGCATTGGCTTGGTCCCTTGTTCACCTGCCCCGTGGCCAATGCTGTGCTGGACACTGGGGAGAAAAGGGGGAACAAAGTAGACTCGGCTCCAGCCCCCGAGGGACTGGCATTCCAGAGGGGGACAGGTACATCATCAGGTAGAGAAGGAAACAAAATGAATGGAGATTTGCTCCATCAGGTGAAGGATGGGGATGGGGTTGGAAAGCATGTTTGTTTCAGAAAGAGCGATCAGGGAGGCAGGCAGCACTGGGGAGCTGACATTTGAGCTGAGACATAAAGGAAGAAAGGACGCAGTTCAGATAGAAGATGAGCACGGGCCAAGGTCCTAAGGAGAGAGTGAATTTGCACGCGTCCCAGGAGTATTGATGAGGCCAGAGTGTCTGGAGCACAGTGAGTGAGGGGTAGAGGGGAGTAAGATGGGATTGAGAGCGGGCCAGGAGCAGCTCATGAAAGTTTGGATTTTATTCTAGGATCGATGGACAGCCATTGAAGGATTTTAAGCAAAGGAATTAGATATGATTAGATTTATATAGATTTATATTAGATAGATGGAAAGATAGATAGATATAGATGATAGCTAGACAGATAGATAGATAGGGACAGACAGATAGATAGACAGACAGATAGGTTTAGATATAAATGGCTGGTGGATTGAAGAAGCAAGAGTAGGACCAAGGAGACAAGACTCAAGCCTGTTTTTGATTTGGTTCTGATGAAATACCCGTGGCTTATGTCAGGGTGATGGTAGCGTGAGTGGAGTGAAGTGGACATGTTTCATCTGTAATTTCTGATGGATGGGATGTGAGGCCACAGACAGCATCATGACCCGATTGCACTATTGTCCCCTTTGGCCAGGGATGGGTGGTGTGGAGGGTGACCACAGGCGCGGGTTAGTCATAACATGGCGGTCTTACGACATTACCCATCTTTCCCATTGAGGTCCCTGGGAATTGCCACTCTTCCTTTGGGCTGTGCTGAGCCAGCTCTGAGGATAGGAGGTCGCTGACGTGCCTGGCATACCTGCTGTAAGAGTAGAGCTCAAGTCCACATCTTCCCTAATAACCTTGTGTCTAAATGGTAGTGTCACACAAGGGCGTGTTTAGAGATTAGCATTTGAAAAGAAGCCTCCTTGCTTTCAGTTTGAGCTGACATGGTCCCTTTTCCTCTGTGGAAATGAAATTTATTAATCATAATAAAACCATCGGATTCTGAAGGTAGAGGTCACCCTGAGGAGAAAAAAGAGCTCGCTCATTTGCAAGGACTAGTTCGGTGCTGCTGTATTTTTCTTCTGCCTGGGAAGGGAACACTGCCAAACTGTTACCTTGGGTTTTCCACAGGGGTTGAAACTTGGCCCAGGGTTATAGATAGATAAGAACCGACCATTAAAGTATGCGAGAGGAGAAGTGGGGCTGCGTTTTCAGGGAATACATTCAGACTGCCAATCTGTTGTCTCCCCAAAAGAGGACGCTTTGCCACAGTAAAACCGGTCCCCAAATTAAAAAACGAATCATCATTGCTCTGAGTTTGCATTTTCCCACTTGTTTTGAAGGAACACCATGCTGTGGCTTCACGTAGTAAATGTCCAAGCAGTTTTAGTTTGCCTTTGCTGTTTACGGCCTGTTCCTACAACCAGCTTTGCCAGATGAAAGTACATAAAAAATAATCCTATTAACAGTTTTTTTCTCCAGACCCATGACAGACTTTATTTTCTCATGAAATGAAAATCAACACCAAAGTTATCCATCGTGTTCTTTTCCCCCTATTAGTATCTACTTCTAATAATGGGTAGAGAGGCCCGGGTTTCATGAGTGACCTCCACGAATAAAAGAGTTTTTTCAAAAACGTCATCATTCTTCTTGTTTTAACACACCCTGTCTTGGACGTACATCTGTTTTCTTTTTCTCCCAGACAGGGAGAATCTTTGATGAAAGGCCATTTTCGATGAGTCAAAGGCATGAGGGGTGTCCCGAGGAATGAAAAGCAAGAGGGGGTTGACAATTTGTTAGTTTCGCTGAGAGAGTCATCTCAGAAAAGAAACATCTATTCATGTCACTACTTTTTTGTTTTGTTTTTGCGGTATGCGGGCCTCTCACTGTTGTGGCCTCTCCCGCTGCGGAGCACAGGCTCCGGACGCGCAGGCTCAGCGGCCATGGCTCACGGGCCCAGCCGCTCCGTGGCATGTGGGATCTTCCCGGACCGGGGCATGAACCCGTGTCCCCTGCATCGGCAGGCGGACTCTCAACCACTGCGCCACCAGGAAAGCCCCATGTCACTATTTTTGAGGATCAGGACAAAGACTCATGTAGATTAATCTGAGCTCAGGGACCTTTGAAACAAGCAAAAGGAGGGCTTGGGAGTAAGACATGTCCAGTGAGAACTTGGTATAGTCATATATTTTTTTCCATCTGGAGTCTAACTCAGCCTGAGAGTTAGAAGATTCTTCCCCCAGCTTCTTCCCACCTTCCCAGGCTCCATGGTGTGAGATCTGTCCAGTACGTTCTTATCCATCAACTATGAGAAAGAAGATTGGAAGACAGGTGGGGGAAGATAGGGAAGGAAAAGAATAAGGTCCACGCAAATTAGACTCCAGGGTTGATAGCACAGGCAAACGATTTCTTCCTGCCTTGTTCCTTCATTCTTTAAAGGAAAGTTCAAGACTTGACAGCTGTGGATAATCCACATCTACCCCGTTTAGTGGCTGGTGTACCCCTCCCCGCTGTGAATGTTGGTCACTGATGGCACCCAGTTGCCTCTTTGGCAGAGAAAGAGTCACTTCAACTAGGAAGTTATTCTCTGCCCTTCTGGGAAGCCCACAGCTAATGCTTAATGTACATGAACATTAAAAAACCAACCCACTTGCCTCCAGATGGGATCAGCTCTGGGGTGCAACTCTCAGGATCAGGTAGAAGCTAAACTCCGGCTCAGACCACATATGTCCTTGCTTCTCTGTTTTCCCTTTCTCCGACCTGCTCGCCACTCTCTCCTCTTGAAAGCACCCCCTCAACAAACCAGGTACGGAAGAATCTCCATTTCGGGCTCTGCTTCCAGGGACCCTCACCTAACCTAGCCTGCATCTCAGCTTTGATCGTTAGCAAAACAGCAATGTTCAAACTCTCTCCAAGAAGATCTCTGGCAGGCCATTCAACAAAGGGTACCTGGAACCATGGAAAAGGTGTGATAGTTGCCCTGAGAGATTCAAGGATCAGCTCTGACTGTCTAGCTCTGTGACCTTGAGCAAGTGACTCGACTTCTCTGAACCCTAATTTCTGATTTGTTGCACTGTTCAGTTCCAGACACTTTGTAGCTATCCAATGCATTAGGCTTCCATCCCTTCTACATTTTTATTCTAAAAACCTGTGCTGGGAGTCAGGGAAGTGGAGGGAGGAGGATGGGAGAGAGAGAGAGAGGGAGGAAAATAAAAAACTCAGATAAGGAAATGGCATCAAGAAATATATTATTTGAAACATGTCCCTTGCCAGAACCTGGCTGTAGATGATGAGATAGAAGTTCTGGGGTGAGAGAACCAAAATCAAATCAGGCTGTAATTCTTGAGTGGTGGGGCAGCGGTCCCACGGATCCTTTAAGGATGCATCTATTTGAATCCATTTGTTCTTTCCCATTCTAAGATGTTGGACCCTAAGTGTACAGACTGGGTTGCTTCACTCTTTTTGATCCACCCTGTCTCGCTTGATTGGTGACAGCTATATTAGGAGAAGAGGACAGTTTCTCTTGATTATAGCTTGTCCTTTGTGGTTACTGGCTTTCTTAAAACCACTCTTTCAAATTGTTTCCTCTGTCTGCCTCCCTCCGTCTTCGAGGTACCTACCTGAGCAGTGTAGCGAGGGGTGTGCGAGAGAGAGGAAACGCACACACACACACACACCCCTTTATCACCAGCGGTGTTAAATGGACAAAGGAATGTGTTGTATAAGATGGACTTTTCTCATGTTACAGGGCTGATTGGAATATGTTTCTTATTTCTCAAGATGAATAGGGCCCCTCCACACTGTCTTGGTATTTTGTGTTTTATGGTTGTTATTATTACTTCATAATTGCATATTATGGATTAATCTTCACCTCTGTCTTCCTTTCAGTTACGGACGAGTTTATGCTACCGACCCCTACCACCACACACTTGCTCCAGCCCCCACCTACGGCGTTGGTGCCATGGTGAGTACCAATTCCTCCTCTTCCTCACTTCTTCCTGCCTCCCATCCCTCCCCACAGCTGGGACCTTAGGATGGGTTGACGGTTGACGTCCTCTCACTTTCCCTTAATTGAATTTGTCTCCTGCTAACAGCAGCTAAAATGCCACATTAATCCTCCCGGTAAACTTGATAAATGTCTTAATTTCTTGGCAATGTAGTGCATGTAAGTTATTATATTTCTCATTTCGCAAGTCTCACCTAGCCGAGCACTTACCTTAATGGAATAATTAGTCATTTTGATAATTAAATCCATCACTAACAGAATGCAGTGTCAATGCAGAACTTTTTTTTTCTTTTTTTTTCTCCCTCCCTTGCTGCTCATTCACATAGCCCCAAGGTTCCAGCCCCAGCACAGACTTCAGAGGAGCTAAGCTGCACACTTCCAGGCCTCTGCTGTCAGGCAGCTGAGAATCTGACTGCCTCTCCTCCCCTATTACAATTCATGTTTAAAGTCATAGTCGCCCAGGAAAGAAAATAGAGAGAAGGGCACACTTTGTGTGTGTGCCTAGTACATAAGGAATTAGAAGGAATCAGTTTGGGGGTTGTCTTTTGTTTTTTGGGGGGGGGGGGTCTGGGTTTTTGTTTTGGGAGGGGCGGGGGGAGGGCAACACTGGGAGGTGGGGGGGTGAATTTGCCTGTACTTGTTCAAACTTCTATGCACTAAAACGTACAGTAAGACGTGCCCATCACGTGAGAGCGTATGCAATCATTACAAAGCTTTTGGCATGCAGTTTTCTGCTTGGGATCGAGAATATCAGTCCTTCTCCTAAAACTAAATCCCCATAGGCATTCATTTGAATCGCCAAAACTTTTCGCAAAAGGAAATAGTTAAGTGCCACCTCCAAGCCATCTAACGCCATGGCCAGACAGTTGCCTGGAGCTTGGTCGTAGAAATTCCGCCATGATTTGGAAACCTATTATTTTGCACAAGTTTAGTGACATCAAGTAATTCATCTGCACAACTCCTCTCTCAAGAGCAACTTCCATACAGATGGTTCAGCCAAGTCAAGTGAGAAGCTGATTTACATTTTCATCCTGATTTTGCATTCAATCAGCTCCGCTTCAACACCCAGTCCACTTGGGGAATGTGTTGGAAAGGAGCGTTGAATGACTACATTCAGTAAGTCATCTGCATTCGACTTCTCGAGTGTAGATAGAGCTTTTCCCGACGGAACATAGTATTATTAATGAATCAAACAAGCAAGCCAACACAATGAGAGTCCCAGTCGTTCAGTGGTCCATTTGTACCCGAGTCCTTTTAGCTCACAGGGCTGGCCGACGGAATTTGGTTTCACAGGGATTTTTCGCTAAAAGGAGCTATTGGGGGAGGTCAGGATTGGCCCTATCTTCAGTTCTCTAAGAGTGACCTGGGATGGGTAGGGGGTGCCTCCATCTTGGTTGTTTCTGAGTGTCTGTTTTTCACATTAGTCTCTTTTGATGATCCATGTGTTACAAAAGGAAAATGTAAAAAACACACCCCTTAAATTGCTTTGTTTCAGAATGCTTTTGCACCCTTGACTGATGCCAAGACTAGGAGCCATGCTGATGATGTGGGTCTCGTTCTTTCTTCATTGCAGGCTAGTATATACCGAGGGGGATACAACCGTTTTGCTCCATACTAAATGACAAAACCATAAAAACCTTCCAATGTGGGGAGAAAGGGAGCTTTCCGAGGCCTGGGTATTGCAATACATGCAGTAGTGCATCATTTTAGCATCTAAAAAAAAAATAAAAAGAGGAAAAAAAGTACATTTTTTATCTTATACCTCAGATATTTTGTTCTGTGTATTTTAATATTGTGGGTCTTTCATTTCCTGAAGGTTCCGTAGTTTGGTTGCTGGCTGTAGGAGTTTTTGTGGTTGATCTAGGGAGATGCTAGCTATGACTAAAAACTGGTGTAGGGCCATGTCCAGAGTGCTCTCTCATGTAAATGAATTATATATGCTGAATATTAAGCTACTGGGGCTATCAGCTGTTTGGGAAGCGTGTAAGTGACTACAGGAGTCATGTTCTTCTGCATCTGCGTTATTTTATTTTATGAAAGGGGAAGGGTGGGCGGCACCGAGGGGGTTGGGACTGGGGTTTGGCTGAAAGAAAAAAAAAATAGTAACTGATGAATCTAAACGACCCACACTGCACCAACAACCATATAGCAACGGTTCTAAGTCACTCGTTGTCAGTTCAAGCCAAAGGTTATGTTGTTAAGGGGATGCTTCTAATAACACTTGTGCATCCGAGCTGAATGCAGCTGTGCAAACCCACCCTTTAAACCATTCCACCCGGCGGTATTCAGCTTCTTAACCAGCCGCTAGTTATTTAGGCAAAAGACTGGTAGTTAGGCCATCCACAAGCATTCTTTTTATATTTCTTCCAGTATAATAAATTATTGATATCATTGCTGACTTTTATATTATGGGAGGGAAAAAAAATAACATTAATAAAAAGGTGATAAAAAGCACTGTTTCTATTTTTTTCTTTTTTTCCAAAAAAAAGAAAGTAATAAAAACTTAAATTCTTTGTACCAGTGAAAAAAAATGTATAAAATTTACATCTGTGCAGTGGCATTGTTAAGTTCTAGAAACAGTCATATGAAGCTTTAGTTTTAGCCTCGTAGAACAACTGTTACAGACAGACGTATAATTTTTATGGAATTACATGATAATCACATTCGGATTTATAGAAGCATTTTACAAGTATTGCAGTCATTGGGTAGAGATGATCATGGTACTTTCATCCGCTTGGTACTTTTTGAAACATGACCGTGTCGTGTAAGCAACCTGCAATTTTTCAGTCCGTGAGAGCCCGCCCTCCCATTTCTCCTGGTCCCCAAGGATTCTCTCAAATCAGTATCTTTAGTTTGTTTCTTTTTTTGTCTCCAAGGCCCAGGACACTTGTCAGAAGGAAGCAAAAAAGTAGGTCCACCCTCAACATCCCCCAAAGAACAAAGTCCCCCCACCTCTGAAGCAGGGCCCGAATGACACAGCCGAAAAATTGCAGTTTGTCTGTATACTTCTTCTGTTTGAAGTCTTTCCATGTTGTCCTGTTTACAAAGTTAATCTAAGTTGGGTGTCACAGACCTTCCTGTTTTTGTACTTAAATAAAAAAAAAAAAAAATCCTGCAGCAAGTCGTCCCCAGTAGTTTTGCTGCCATAGGTAAAATGTCCATGTGTGCGGTGCAGGCCATATGGCATGCACTTTAGTAACGCTATCAATTCACCGCTGTGAACCTGCCAAACTGCTGTAACAACTCTGCTTTAAGACAAAAACCAAACAAAACTTAAAAAAAAAAAAGTGTTTGTGATCCAGCTTTTCTCTTGTCATCCTATGTGCATGCAGTAAGATCGGTTGGATATTAAATAAAGTTTCACGAGATTTGAAAACTGAGTTTCTGTAGCTTCGCTATCTAAGACAGATCACCGTGATCTTGCAAAAAGAGAGAAACGGGGGAAAAAAACTGCTTAGCGGCCAAAAGTAGAAAAAAATGTTCTTTTCACCAGATTGATTTGGCGGGGGCGGGGGCGCGTGAGGGTGTTTTAGAGCATCCCTGAGGCATTCTCGTCCCCCCACCTGGAAGATGGTGTCATGACAGTGGGTGCCTGGTTGATGTTTTTAAGGGAAACGATGTACTAAAATGCTAACGCATCCGACCCCAAAGGGGAACAAGGTAGAAGGAACAGAGGGCTCGGGAGAATCAAGTGATGTCTCCCATTTGCCTCAGATTTCAAAATCCAGAATTTGCATTGTATTTGGAATCACAAACATAGAATTCTTACTGTGTTGGTTCAAGTAAAATTAATTTGCAGTTTTGATTTTCATCGATGAGCTGTACTTTCCCCCATGATTGTATGTAGTTTTAATAAAATCATTTAGAGCCGCCTGGGTGCCAACTGATGTTACAGAATCTTTTGTCAGGCACTCCTCCAAGAGGCCAATAAGTCATTTTAAACTGTATGTCAGAGATGTAAACAGACATTTTGGATTTTTTTAAACGGTATTTATTTGGAATGTTTTCATTTATCTAAATAACTATTGCTATTATGAATTATGGAAAAAAGATTACTATCATGTGTGGCATATAGTGACTTAACACACACCTCACGCAATCTGCAAACCCAGAAAATGTGTATATCTGTCTTTAGAAATTAGTGTTTATATCACTTACAGTGGTTTGTGAATAAAGAAAACTGGTTTGTAATATCAAAAAATAAAAGCTTAGTCTGAAAAGGTCCACATGAGTTGTGTTCTGAGTCCTTTGGCTTCTGTGTGTTTCCTGGGGGAGTGGAGTCATCACGCCCACACAGGGCTGCCCTTGTGCCCACCAGGGGCCATGGGTTGGGGCCGCCCAGGTGAGCAGTGGGCTGTCCTGGTTGCCACAGGCTGCCTGGCTCAGAGGGCTCCCCTTCCTCATGTATCTTTCCAAAGAAGTTGGTGGAACCAACCACAGATGTTTAAGAAAGACACAGAACTAAGCTTAGCTCTTTCCTGGCATGGCAATATCAGTCTTTGGTTTAAAACAAAACAACAACAACAACTGTACATTTCAAATGAAACATCTACTAACATCTGTTATTAGTACAACTTTTAGTTACCAGTACAACAGTTTTAGGGAGACTTGTAGGAAGAAGATGAAAAAATAATAAGTGGTAGAGCTTACATTTACTGAGGGCTTACTAAGACCAAGAATCTTGTGTTCCTCATTTCATTTAATTATTTGAATGCTCCCACCAGGGTTGGATTATCTACCCCATTTAGTTATCTTAATAATATCTTAATCCTATCTTATTTACTTAATACTGCTATCAAGTTGTTAAGACACAAAGATTTTTAAAATACCGGCTCTGGAAGCAGGTGTTCTGAGTTTGAATCCTGATTCGGTCCCTTGCCAGCTGCAGTCAAGGGCAGGTTAAACCAAAGCTCTGTGCCTCGGTCTCTTCATCCGTAATTCAGGATGAGAAGACCACCTACCCTTTAATACTGAGATGTGGAATAAAAGCATATATGGGAAGGGCTTACAGTGGGACTTCATAAATTGTAAGCTCATTGCTTACAGGTGAGGACACTGAGACCAAAGAGGTTAATTTATCTGAACCACACAGCAAGCCAGTGGCAGGTCCAACATTCCACAATGGGTCCCTGTTCTCCTGGCCCAATGGGAAATTTCAGCAATTTTAGAAGTCTTGCTCTACGAGCCAAAGGCTGATTTTTTTTTTCCCCACAACGCAGTTGTCTTCAGAGCATTCATTATACCATTTCAAGTATATTCAGTGGTCCCTTCTCTGTAAACTCCTTATACATGGGACTGTACAAGTTAAGTCAACTTCCATTTGCTCTATGTCCATTGATCTTTGAAGACAGTGTTACCCCGATTGTATAAATGAAGACGATAAGGAAGGGTCCTACGATCCGCCTAAAGTCACGTCTAGTGACTGTTGGCCGGGAAGCTTGCGTCTTCTTCCAAAAATTCTCTCTCATTATTGATGGTGGTGGTGGTGATGGTGAACTTGGGCATCTAATACTCTCCTTACGAAATATGTGAGGCTGTATTAATTTCAAAAAAAATAAGTCCCTAGCTTTATCCTGGCACATGGTGAGGGAGATGATGGCCATCTCCTAAAACGCTGGCTTACAGCTGAGTCCCTGCCCCATCCAAATAGGAGGATATAAATAGAGGTGAATCTCCCAAATCAGGTTCTTCTCTAAAACGGAGATAAGCACATATATTTCACGTCAAGTTGTAAAGAAAATAAAAAATGGATGGCAGAGGTGAAACGGTTTCTTACAAGACTCGATCAGTGGACGCCAGTGCTTGACGCCCACCCATCTCCTCCACCTGGATTGTGGGCAGAGGTGAGCTAACGGGCCAGGGGAAGGTCATGAGGTGATGCCCACTAGGTGCGATGCACAGGCTTTGTGTATAAACAGAGGCTGGTACTTATTTGTTTTGTGGACAATGCCTGGGAGGTAGTCGGAGCCTCATCTCATCTGTAACTTTTTTTCTTAGAACTGTATTTTAATTAAATAGGAAAACCTTCTCCATGTTAAAAAATGTTTTAAAGGGCTTCCCTGGTGGCGCAGTGGTTAAGAATCCGCCTGCCAGTGCAGGGGACACGGGTTCGAGCCCTGGTCCGGGAAGATCCCATATGCCGCGGAGCAGCTAAGCCCGTGTGCCACAACTACTGAGCCTGTGCTCTAGAGCCCGTGAGCCACCACTACTTAAGCCCACGCGCCTAGAGCCCGTGCTCCGCAACAATAGAGGCCACCGCAATGAGAAGCCCGCACACCACAACAAAGAGTAGCCCCCACCCACCGCAACTAGAGAAAGCCCGTGCACAGCAACGAAGAGCCAACACAGCCAAAAATAAAAAATAAATTAAAAAAAATATTTTAAAAATATGCATCACAAATCTGACTCCATTAGCTTAGACTATTCTAAGTCCCATTTTCCCACTCAACATCCCGACAACCTGGATTCTTTAAGCTGGTACCCAAAGAGTGTTGCTACTTCCTGGCACGTAGCTACTTTTCCTGCAAACAGAGCTCCAGTAAGCACATTGCTTTCCCATGCACACGTGCTTGTGCTCATGCACTCATGCACACACAAGCAAAAGCCCTTTCCTGCTGTGATCATGTCCCTCCAATGTACCATCCAGAGACGTTCTCTCTCAGAAACACTTGATGAGCTGGTTGAAAAAGCAGATTCCTGGGCCCCATCTGCTTCCAGGACTCCCAGGGTTGAGTATTGGAGGTCCCATCCTTCAGTGAACTTCCTAATTGTGTTCATGGCTTGTCCCCCCTCCGGATCTGACCCTTGTAACATCGGCGGAGCCAATCGTGTGTGCACGAGTGTACGTATACACAAGCACAGACCTACACGTGCATATATCCATGCATATTCTTACCCTTTCTCATGACAGCCTGTGATTATTTTTTCACACTTAAAGTCAAGAATTAGGACTAAAAAAATAATCTCTCTAGGGAAGAGATAAAACAATCATTTTTGTTGGAAAACGAAGGTGTTTTTTCTGTTTTTTATTCATTGCTGGATGATACATGTGTGTGCATGTATGGTGTTATGTGTTATACACTATATATTACATATTTAGGAAATTTGTATTTAAATTCACAAGGCGCAGTATTCTCTGAGGGATATGAAATTCTCATCGTACAATCGCTTAACGTGATGCTTGATATTGGACCAAAGGCCAGGGTTTCTCATTGCTTTTTTGCAGTCCTAAAGAATAGAGATTTGGGGGGGTGACCAGGAGCAGTGGCCCCGGGGCACCTTTGAGGAGTCTCCTAGGAGAGCCCAGTCTTACCTTATATGCTGTGTCCCAATCACCCTCCTGGAAAGTTGGGGTGGGGGAACCAGAGGTGTGTCTCTGACTCTTACGGCCTAGGAAATCCAGGCTGCTTTGATCACGGGTATCTGGCCTAGAGAAGGGAATTTACCGACCCTCTCAAAGGGGAAATATTTTCTGGACAGCAAAGTGGTATTGTGATGAAAACAACCAGGGTTCTTTTAAAACTAATGGTGTCATTCCCTAAAGGTAACAAATGTTATCGCTTGTACTGAGGATAAAACAAATAACAAGACCAGCTAACATTGTCTGAATACCACCTCAGCCCGTCTACAAAACAGACATATTTAATCTATATACTATAAATACATAACTGTCTATACATGGACATGTATATGAGAGGCATTCAGAAGGCCTCTTAGCCTCTCTGTGCTTCAGTTACATTCCCTATAAAATGCAGATAATAAATAATACCCACCTCATAGGGTTCTTATGAGAATGATATGCATTCAAAAGTGTGAAGCACTTAGCCTGGCATATAGCATTTTTTCTTTTTAGTAATAAATCATTTCTATATCTATCTGTATAATTTATCTGTGTCCATATATATTGCATAGATTCAAATAATATATATTCCATATCTATATGATATGTAACACAATTATACATACAGATGTATGTATAATCTATACAGTTTATACATCCAAAATCTCTTTGTATACACACATGGATACCAAAAGCTTTATAATATGTAATATGTTTATTTTTATGCATTAGCATAGCTACAATATACCCATTAGTGGACCATAAATATATATGCTAGTTCTTGTAAAGCACATAGATACTGGCAGAGGAAGCAATCAGCAAATGGAACTTATCAACATCATAGTTATTATGATCTCATTTAATCCTCAAGAACTGGCAAGGTAGGTACTATTATTACCCGCTCTACCCACCAGGGAGCAGAAGCTTAAGCAAACCTGGTGATGCCCAAGGGATACGGCTCTACATGGTGCAGCCAAGCCTTGGGCATCAGCTGTCTGGCTCCAAAGTTCTTGCTGCTCCATGCTGAACAATACAGACACTTGGCACTTAATCCTTGCGGCATCCCAGGTAAGTAACTTGGCCATGACTTCCTACACTTGTTCAAAAGGTGGAAATCAGGATGGTCCCAGAGTCCGCCTCTGAGAGTGCAGACCACCCTCCCATGATTATCCTCAGGGTCCCCAGCCCGTGCCTGTGACTTTGACATCCCAGCTCTCTGACTGAGGCAGGCAGATGGTGCGTTGCCTGCATGAGGCAAAAAGCCAGGGAGAGCAAGAGAATTCCCCAGCCTCTAAGAAAGAAGAAACAACAGGACCGCGGGTAGAAAACAGAAGAGCAGAGACCCAAGAAGTAGGGTCACGGTGGTGCTGCGGGCAGGTGACGGTTGGAAAGCACGCAGACTCCAGTAACCCTTAAAGGAGAATTAAAAAAAAAAGAAAAAAGCAGATAGCAATTTCAGATCAGCGCACGAAACCCTCATGCTCACATCCGGAAAGGCAAACTCTCTGCAGCCACACCAGAAAGTTGTCCGGAACTGAAAAACTGGTCAGAGGCACTGCATACAGCTTGATTTTTATCTCCCCCAAACACTCCTAGGCTGCCGAGCAGCAGGGAAATTCATTACTGCAAGTAGGATTTCAGCACCAGAGGACACTGCCGCTCAGCGGGACAGGGCTGTCAGCTAACTGGCTTGCTGCTGCTTTTCCCTGTTTTATTTTCCTAAACTGCATGACTAGATGATGCATTGTTCTTTGGACTATTTCCTTTTTTTCCCAAGCCCTGTTCTTCCCCTCTCCCCCTAAAGACCGAGAGACATCGAGAGACAGAGCACAAGCTTTTGCTTTGTGAGAAAAGGAGGTAAGAAGGAAAAATGAAAAACCCACAA